GGACCTCTAGGGAAGTCCCAAATTAAATTTTAAAGGAAAGCAAGAGTGGCACTATTACACTAGGTGGAGTATAAGGCTCAGCTGGTTAAAGAGGAACTAAATACAGTAACAAAGGAACAATTAAAGAATAAAATGTAACAATTATAAACTTGTATGTACCAAATAACATAGGAGCCAACTACATAAAGGAAAAATAATTGTAAACCCTAGTTGAGTTGGAGTGGCAATGTTTATACCGCAGGGAATGGATCACGGTTGGCCTAAATCTGTTCAACAGTATGAGAACCATGAACTTGCAGATGTTTCCCCCTCAGTCAGTCTCTCCCATCTGGAAGCTTCCATAAGCCTCTTATCCTTCTCCATCAGAGGGCAGACAGACTGAAAACCACAATCACAGAAAAGTAACCAATCTAACCACATGGACCATAGCCTTGCCTAACTCAATGAAACTGTGGGCCATGCCGTGTGGGGCCACCCAAGATGGACAGGTCATGGTGGAGAGGTCTGACAGAATGTGGTCCACTGGAGAAGGGAATGGCAAACCACTTCAGTATTCTTACCTTAAGAACCCCATGGACAGTATGAACAGGCAAAAGGATAGGACACTGAAAGATGAACTCCCCGGGTCGGTAGGTGCCCAATATGCTACTGGAGATCAGTGGAGAAATAACTCCAGAAAGAATGAAGGGATGGAGCCAAAGCAAAAACAACACCCCGTTGTGGATGTGACTGGTGATAGAAGCAAGGTCCAATGCTATAAAGAGCAATAATGCATAGGAACCTGGAATGTTAGGTCCATGAATCAAGGCAAGTTGGAAGTGGTCAAACAGGAGATGGCAAGAGTGAACTTTGACATTTTAGGAATCAGTGAATTAAAATGGACTGGAATGGGTGAATTTAACTCAGATGACAATTATATCTACTGCTGTGGGTAAGAATCCCTTAGAAGAAATGGAGTAGGCATCATAGTTAACAAGAGTCCGAAATGCTGTACTTGGATGCAATCTCAAAAACAACAGAATGATCTCTGTTCATTTCCAAGGCAAACCATTCAATATCACGGTAATCCTAGTCTATGCCCCGACCAGTAACACTGAAGAAGCTGAAGTTGAACGGTTCTATGAAGACCTATAAGACCTTCTAGAATTAACACCCAAAAAAGATGTCCTTTTCATTATAGGGGACTGGAATGCAAAAGTAGGAAGTCAAGAAATACCTGGAGTAACAGGCAAATTTGGCCTTGGAGTACAGAATGAAGCAGGGCAAAGGCTAATAGAGTTTTGCCAAGAGGACGCACTGGTCACCCTCTTCCAACCACACAAGAGAAGACTTTACACATGGATATCACCACATGGTCAACACTGAAATCAGATTGATTATGTTCTTCGCAGCCAAAGATGGAGAAGCTCTATACAGTCAGCAAAAACAAGACTGGGAGCTGATTGTGGCTCAGATCACGAACTCCTTATTGCCAAATTCAGACTTAAACTGAAGAAAGTAGGGAAAACCACCAGACCATTCAGGTGTGACCTAAGTCGAATCCCTTGTGATTATACAGTGGAAGTGAAAAATAGATTTAAGAGACTAAATCTGATAGAGTGCCTGATGAACTATGGACGGAGGTTCATGATATTGTACAGGAGACAGGGATCAAGACCATCCCCAAGAAAAAGAAATGCAAAAAAGCAAAATGGCCATCTGAGGAGGCCTTACAAATAGCTGTGAAAATAAGAGAAGTAAAAAGCAAAGGAGAAAAGGAAAGATACACCCATTTCAATGCAGAATTCCAAAGAATAGCAAGGAGAGATAAGAAAGCCTTCCTCAGCGATCAATGCAAAGAAATAGAGGAAAACAATAGAATGGGAAAGAATAGAGATCTCTTCAAGAAAATTAGAGATACCAAGGGAAAATTTCATGCAAAGATGGGTTCAATAAAGGACAGAAATGGTAGGGACCTAACAGAAGCAGAAGATATTAAGAAGAGGTGGCAAGAATAGACTGAAGAACAGTACAAAAAAGATCTTCATGACCCAGATAATCACGATGGTGTGATCACTGACCTAGAGCCAGACATCCTGGAATGTGAAGTCAAGTGGGCCTAAGCTAGTGGAGGTGATGGAATTCCAGTTGAGCTATTTCAAATCCTAAAAGATGATGCTGTGAAAGTGCTGCACTCAATATGCCAGCAAATTTGGAAAACTCAGCAGTGGCCACAGGACTGGAAAATGTCGGTTTTCATTCCAATCCCTGAGAAAGGCAATGCCAAAGAATATTCAAACTACGGCACAATGGCACTCATCTCAGTTCAGTTCAGTCTCTCAGTTGTCTCCAACTCTTTTGAGACCCCATTAACCACAGCATGCCAGGCCTCCCTGTCTATCACCAACTCCCGGAGTTTACTCAAACTCATGCCCATTGAGTTGGTGATGCCATCCAACCATCTCATCCGTTGTCATCCCCTTCTCCTCCTGCCCTCAATCTCTCCCAGCATCAGGGTCTTTTCATATGAGTCAGCGCTTCGCATCAGGTGACCAAAGTATTGGAGTTTCAGCTTCAACATCAGTCCTTCCAATGAACACCCAGGACTGATCTCCTTTAGTATGGACTGGATCTCCTTGCAGTCCAAGGGACTCTCAAGAGTCTTCTCCAACACCACAGTTCAAAAGCATCAATTCTTTGGTGCTCAGCTTTCTTTATAGACCAACTCTCACATCCATACATGACCACTTGAAAAACCATAACCTTGACTAGATGGACCTTTGTTGGCAAAGTAATGTCTCTGCTTTTTAATATGCTGTCTAGGTTGGTCATAACTTTCCTTCCAAGGAGTAAGCATCTTTTAATTTCATGGCTGCAATCACCGTCTACAGTGATTTTGGAGCCCCAAAAAATAAAGTCAGCCACTGTTTCCATTGTTTCCCCATCTATTTGCCATGAAGTGACGGGACCAGATGTCATGATCTTAGTTTTCTGAATGTTGAGCTTTAAGCCAACTTTTTCACTTTCCTCTTTCACTTTCATCAAGAGGCTCTTTAGTTCTTCTTCACTTTATGCCATAAGGGTGGTGTCATCTGCATATCTGAGGTTATTGATATTTCTCCTGGCAATCTCGATTCCAGCTTGTGCTTCTTCCAGCCCAGCGTTTCTCATGATGTCCTCTGCATAGAAGTTAAATAAGAAGGGTGACAATATGCAGCCTTGACGTACTCCTTTTCCTATTTGAAACCAGTCGGTTGTTTCATGTCCAGTTCTAACTGTTGCTTCCTGACCTGCATAAAGGTTTCTCAAGAGACAGGTCAAATGGTCTGGTATTCTCAGACCTTTCAGAATTTTCCAGTGCAGGGGACCAAGGCCCGGGTCTTGGTCCCTGGTCAGGGAACTGGTTCCCACAGGCTGCAACTAAAGATCCGACATGGTGCAGCTAAGACTCAATGCAGCCAAATAAATAATTAAAAAAAAAAAAGAAACAGAAATTGAGGAAACAATCCCATTTACCATCACATCAAAAAATAAAATACTTAGGAATGAATCTACCTAAGGAGGCAAAAGACGTATACTTGGAAAACTGTAAGACACTGATTGAAGCTGAAACTCCAGTCCTTTGGCCACCTGATTTGGAGAGCTGACTCATTTGAAAAGACCGTGATGCTGGGAAAGATTGAGGGCAGGAGGAGAAAGGGACGACAGAGAGTATTTTTTTTGTAAGCAGCATGGGAGTATTTATTCTGTTCACATTTTGTGTTGTGTTAGTCACTCAATCATGTCCGATTCCTTGGGACCCCATGGACAGTAGTCCACCAGTCTCCTCTGCCCATGGAATTTTCCAGGCAAGAATACTGGAAGCAGGTTGCCATTCCCTTCTTCAGGGGATCTTCCCAACCCAGGAATTGAACCCAGGCTTCCCGCATTATGGTCAGATTCTTGAGCATCTGAGTCACCAGGGGAGCCCCTCTGTTCATATTCAGTGTGATACGTTAGATTTTACTCTTCTCATCTTCTGCTTATTCATTATTTATTGTAACTGTTTCCTGTCCCCTTTCCTCCATCCTGATGGGACTGTTTGTTGGCAGTGGGGGCAGTCGAAGCAGGGGTTCTTTGTTAGTATCCAGCTGCTGTGGGTGAAGCTGTCACCAGCAGTTCTGGTCACTAGAGCAGCTAGCAGCATAGTCTGGAGGCTTCCTGGCAGTGAAGCCTCCAAATCCAGTTTCTTGTCTTTCCTAGAGATTCCATGAACCATCTAACATCTTTCTATTGAATGTTATTTTGTTTCAATTAGCCAGGGATGCCTGTTGCTTCAACCAAGAACACTGGAAAACACAGCTTCAAGTGTGTTCTTTCCCCAGTTAAGTCTGTGGTCAACTTCATGCGATAAAGTTTTACTTTACCTATTAAAAATATTTGATTTATTATTTTACTTGGCTGTGCCAGGTCGTAGTTGTAACATGTGGGTCTTTTGGTTTTGGTCTGCAGGATCTTTAGTTGTGGCATGTGGGATCTCGTTGTCCCCTGACCAGGGCTCAAACCCTGGCCCCTTGCATTGGGAGCAAGGAGTCTTAGCCACTGAAACACCAGGGAAGTCCTTTTCTTATTTATTTAGACAAATGTTAGATACAGAGAAGGAACAGAGCATAGTTGAACCACAAAATGATCCCACTATTCCAGACTCTACTAGGAATTCTAAAGCAAATTTTTCCTTAACCACACAGCCACCTCGTCCCACGTTAAAGCAAATTTTTCCTTAGTGTTGTAACACTAAAGTTCTTTGTACTCATCTTTTAATGAAGGAAAGACTAATCCTAACCTAACCCTTTTAGAAAGTAACCCAAGTTTTACAGACTTTCAAATTATCTTTATTTTTTTTTTAATTAAAAAATATTTTCCCACTTAGAAAACAGAAGAAAGGTCTCTGGACTTGGGCGAGGGTCAGGCATGCCCGTGGAGCTTGTTACTCGATCCTGAGAGTCAGCAGTTTACGAAGCATTAAGATGCCCCAGAAACTGTCATCTTGAGTCACTTCTTAATAACAAAGGGGATAAAAGTCTGATGCTCAAGCCTCTGAAGATCTTTTCTAAATTGGGGCCTGTTGAGAGAGGAATGAGAAAGCTTTGATTGCCAGGAAACTGTGAGGGATGTAGGGGAGGAGAGGTGATACTGAAAATGCAGGGACTGGAACCGAGTCAAGGTGTGCCATGGAGGCCTGGAGAGAAACAGAGAGCTAACGAGAATTTATTAAGGGACTTCCCTGGTGGTCCAGTGATAAAGAGTCTGCCTTCCAATGTAGGGGGCTCGAGTTCGAACCCTGGTAGAGGAACTAATATCCCACATGCTGCAGGGCATCTAAGAGGCTGCATGCCACAGAGAAGTGTCAGTCACTCAGTCATGGCTGACTCTTTGCAGCCCCATGGGCTATAGTCCACAGTAGCCCACCAGGCTCCTCTGTCCATGGACTTCTCCAGGCAAGAACGTGGGAGTGGCTATCCATTCCCTTCTCCAGGGGATCTTCCTGATCCAGGGATCAAATCCAGATCTCCTGCATTGCAAGCAGATTCTTTACCATCTGAGCCACCAGGAAAGCCACAAAGAAGATCTGAAGCAAACAAACAAAAAGGATCTATCAAGAGAGAGATGGAAGGAACTGCCGACACCTGGGAGAGGGGGCCAAAAGGAGGTGTCATGAGAGAAGAGAAAGGAGTGGGGAGTGGGAGACAGCAAGGAGATGACAGATGACAGAAGGGGGGAGGCTGAAGCTGGGAAGGGAGCGGGGGAGAGGCCAGGGACCTGCCTCAGGGCCAGCTTCTCACCATCAGGATCCTCTGGAGCCTTCGTGTTATGCTCGCACTGTATTGCTGCAGCTTCTCCCAGGGCTGGAAGGGCCTTGACTGATTGTCCACAAACTCTTCCCAGCAATCTTCAAACTCTTGAGATGAGAGAGAGAAACAGAGTCAGGCCCTGAGGGCAGGGGAGCAGCAAGCAACTCAGGTTCCCTCCTTCCTTCCCCCTTTTTTCTCTTCCTCTTCCTGGAATTTCCCCTTCCAGGTGGTATCACACCTTGTGTCTCAGCTGGGCCTCCATCCTTCCTGTCCAGCCTCCCTTCCCCTCTCCCACTCAGTGGCTTTCCCTCTTGGAACTTGCAGACCCTCCAGGCCACCAACAGCTCTGTCTCTCTTCCTACCTGAGTGGGTCATGACAGCCACTGAGATCCCGGCTGCCTGCAGTTGCTGCAGCCCCCTCTGGAACGGCTTTTTCCAGTGAAAGTACAGGCGGGAGGCAAAGATCTGCAGGTTCAGGTGGTCATTTCTGGTGATGAAATCGACCAGCTCACTGGCACATCTCGGGCAAGGGCTCCATGTGATATACCAGATGATTTTGTAGCTCTGCCTCCGGTCCAGATTCAGTGAGTTGATCTTGTCAATAAAGCGAATTTCTGCATGCTGCTGCTTCTGGAGAGGGTTCCAGACAGAGAGCAGGAAGGGCTGGTTAGAAGGCAGAGGCCAGAGGTCACACATGGAGGGTGAAGTTGGGGATGAGAGGCTCTATCCTGTGAACTTTTCAGTATGTGAGCTTGCCTATAGCACAAGGAAAGAACCTCCTTTTGTTCATTATGGATTCCTTCACTCACTCACTCATCCATTAATTCCACACATCTGTATCTTGATCAGAATCTGATCAGGGTCCTTGTGACCAGAGGAGACAGGTTGTAGACCAGACAGCCCCAGGGCTTCGTAGTTATTTAGTCACTAAGTCGTGTCTAACTCTTTGCAACCCCATGGACTGTAGCCCACCAGTCGCCTCTGTCTATGGGATTTCCCAGGCAAGGATATTGGAGTGGGTTGCCATTCTCTTCTCCAGGGGAACTCCCTGACCCAGGGATCAAACCCACTTCTCCAGAATTGGCAGGCGGATTCTTTACCACTGAGCCACCAGGTAGAATGTGACCTGGTATTTGGACACAATCAGGAGGTTGTCTGGAGATGTTTGAACCTGAGGATACCAAGGAGCAGGTCGGGGAGGGAGAGAGGAAGAACAGACAGGTAGAAAGACGAGCAGAAAGACAGAAATGTGATGGAGATCTTGCAGGTGAGGTTAGGTGCTCAGTCCTTGGAAGAGTGGTTGGCTTCCTGGAGTGATGACTGAGCTGAGACCTGGAAGATGAGAAAACATGAACTTCTCAAAGAGGAGCAGGAAGACATTGTGCTGGAGGGAAGGGCTTCTGTGGTGGCCTGGGGATGGGGAAGGAGGAGGAGAGCTCCTAGGAAGCTGGGTTAACTCAGACTCTGCTAAGCCTCGGGATTTTCCCTGCATGAATGGGGTTAGCCCCTGCCTGCCCTGTACCCGGAGGACCCATTTGGCACCTTGTTTCGGAAGCAGCCTCTGTTAAGCGTTGAGTCGTCAAGCTGCTTCAGCTGGTAGCACAGGTAGGTTTTCCTTCGGTAGTGAGGTGGTGGGACCCGGGGCTGGTTGCCAAACTGATGCTTGAACAGAGCTTCTCTTAGCAGGTTCATTGTGTTTCTGTGCAATAAGGAAGGAGAAAATCCAAGATGCAGACAGCATTCTTTCTGTGGCATCACCCTAGGCTCTGAACCTCATTCTGAACCCAATTCCTTGGGCTCGCCTGGGCCGTTAAGGGGAGGTACAGGAGGGTCTCTTCCTTCTTGGCTGACCAGGGGGACCGGGGAGGGAGACGGAAGAATGTGAGTTCTCCCACCTCAAAGACCACCTCCCACCTCTGGCCTGAAAAAGAGCCCCCACCCCACTCCAGCCCACACTAGAGGACTCTGCAGGCAGGATGCCTGGGCTGGGATGGGGCAGGGGTGCCCTGAGAATTGAACATGGCATGTCCTTCCTCGGCTCTCTCATCTTTGTCCTAAGCCCCAGACCCCTCTGTGTAGGTACCACAAGCACCTCAATCGCATTTAGAACCCCTTCTCTTTGGGGAGTTGGGGGGGATGGAAGCTGGTGTTTTTTCCTTTAACTCTTTGTGCTCCTGGCTGAGCTATGTGTATCACACTTTTGTCTGTAGAAAGAGCTCAGAGGCACATGACCAGGAAAAACTGCTGTCACCAAGGGTGTGTTGCAACAGGCACTTATTGAAAAAGCACTCACTTAGCTTTTATCCCCCCACCCATTATGCTTGTACTCTGTAAAGTATTTCATTTTGTATCTTGCTTTCTTTCATGTAATATATTGCAAAGTCGCCCAGCCCATGTGGGAGTGCAGAACCACCAGGTTCTAGTATGTGAGCTTGCCTACAGCACAAGGAAAGAACCTCCTTCTTTCCTTCATTATGTATTCCTTCACTCACTCACTCATCCATTAATCTCACACTCCTCGAGCATCTGTATCTTGATCAGAATCCAATCAGGGCCCCTGAGGCCAGAGGAGTTGGGTTGTAGACCAAACACCCCCAGGGCTTCATAGTTGTTTAGCTACTAAGTCGTATCTGACTCTTTGTGACCCCATGGACTATAGCCTGCCAGGCTCCTCTGTCCAAGGGATTTCAATAAATCCCATTTCTTTTCAATAAATGCTGCTGGCTCTGCACAGATTGAAGCAGGTGGACACAACCGGGAGCCTTCCTGCCAGACCCCAGGGAGGTGCGTAAAGGCGTGCTCTGGCCGGAGCCCCACCGCATGTGCACACTCAAGACCAAGCAGATACCAGTCTGAACAAGCTTGGGAGGCTTGATGGCCTCAGATCCGGTGGTCCTTTTGGACCCTCCACCCAAGGTAATGTCACTTGGCCTATCATTGCATCAGACACAGGTGATCTCGGAGCATCAGAATAGGCATCTGGACACAGGAACCAAACCAAGCGTGCCCTCACAGCCCAGACCCCGTGTTGCAACAATCTGTGCCTACAAGGCCGGAAAAGCTTCGCTATATTTCCAGCTGACTCACTGAAATACCACCAGTTCCACCAATGAAAAACCATTTCTGGTATCTGTTATGCTAATTAGCAAAGCCACAGATTTCACCAGTGGAAACCTATCTCATCAATGGAAACCTATCTCATCAATGGAAACCTAACATCCCTCATGTTAATCAGGAAAACTTTAGGTGGATTTGGAGAACAACTGCTAAAGAGACCATCTCTGGACTGTGACCTTTCGTTACCAGCCACTGACCTCCCCTGAAGTTCATACTCCCAGGGAGGGGAACAGGCGGCCAGATTAGAAGGGAAATCCCATTTGCATCACATCTAAGACAACCGTTGCTGCCCCATCTGACCGGAGTCTTCCTGATTTTAGCCCTGAAGTCCCCATGTTCTGGGAAACTCCCCAGTCCTGGGGACACTCAGACAACTCAAGGCTGAGACCCTTCACATTTCAGACAAGAGGACTTATCTTCATAGCACATATGTTGCACCTTGACCTTGAATAGCTAAAACTGTAGGTGTGACAGAAACAACCTTTAAGAAGTATTTAAAGACCAATTGAATTTTTCACACTTGGTAGTGTCTTCATGGGAAATGAGCTATCTTCTTATCTTGGAGAGCAGAAATGAGAGTATTCTTTTGCAAAATTGTGCCTTTAAAATAGTTTTACAAAAATGCTTTTGTAGCTGACTCCAGACATTGTTTCAATCATCCTTGAACCTAATGTCTAGGATTGAGGGTACACAGAAAGCTTCAGAAAGACTTGGGCTCCATGTCTATGGAATATGGCCAGGGACAGACAGACAGATGGCCAGGGGTACAGAGAGACAGGCTGTGGCAGAGGCGAGGCTGGGAGGCCTGAGGCAAGAGGAGGCACAGAAGCGGAGCCCTGCAGGGAAGGTGCCAGAGAGAGAACCCAGCGCTGGGAGTGGATGGTGGCCAAGCCCGAGGCTGAGAGGAGAACTGGCATCGATACCTGGTCCCCACAGCCTGGCTCCAGCCCCCTTGGCAGACTCATCTCGGCTTGCCCTGGCACTGGGCTCTCTGGCTCCACCTCCCTCTCAGCAGGCTGCCCTTGGCCTTGGGAGAGTCCCTTATCTGAGAATGTACCCCCACAGCTTTCCAAGTGGCAGATACCTTTCTGGGCTGGGGAAGCTGAGGCAGGAGGTCCTGTGAGGCTGCCAGGGCTAACACCATGACAGGCAGGCCGGACCTAAGTTTCGGTTTCCCCTGAAATGGTAAGATTCCCTACCCCCATCAGGCCACCTGGAGCCAGCCAATCAATATGCACCCAGTAAGAAAAAGAGAATCTATCAGGGGAAAGCTGAAAAGTCCGCGAACGCCCAAGTTTGAAAAAAGCCTGCGAAAGTTTGGACCAATACAATTGCTTTGCAAACATGTAACCAATCCGCTTAAGCCAGCTACCAACTGCTTATGCTCACCCTATAAATTTGTGTAACAGCTTGGGCTCGGGGCTCTCTGACTCCGCACCACTGCGTTGGATGTGGCAGGAGCCCTGACTCCAGTCAGCAATAAACTTCCCTTTTTGCAAGTTGCATTGTCTTGGAGGCCTTCTCTCTTCCCACTCGGGGATTCGGACATCGGGCATAACAGTCCTAGGCTGGTTTTCTTTTTCTGCATCCTCTTCCTCCTCCCGGGCTCTTGACTTACATGGTCCCGGGAGTCCAAATGCAATATGCTTGCTCAGAAAGGCCTGACCCAGCCCAGCCCTCTGTCATAGACACTCTGCCTCTGTTTCCTCTCCCAGGACCCTTGCTTTTAGGACAGCCCCTGATCTGAAAGCAACGTCCCAGCCAGCTCAGCCGAGGCCCCGCCCCCTTCCTGTTTTGGCACCAGGGGTGGGAGGGCCCAGGGATGCTTTGCTTCCTTGGGCTCAGACCCACCTTCTCTGGGGCCCTCCCTCTTGGCAGAGCTCAGCCTCTGATGGATGGGCAGGACCGACAGTACTGCAGAGGGGAAACAGAAAGTGAAGATGCCAGCGAGGGGGATGGGCCAGACCCTGGCTGTAGAGAGCAGGACAGAGGCTGCTTCCACTGGGGGAGGGGCAGGCTGGTGCTCTCTCCACCCCACCCGGGCATTGTACTTAGTTGTCATTCAGTATCCTGGCAAGACTCGGGAAGGATGGAAAAGGAGGCCTGGGGGTCAGCACTCCAGATCATCATCTCCAGCCCTGTGTTGGGCAAATCTGTGCACCTTCAGTCACCCCAGCGCCCCAACAGCCTCGAGCAGGGAGGATCGTTATCCTGACATTTTAGATGAAGTCATAGCACAGCGAGGCTAAGACACTCTCTTGAGGTCACACAACAAATAAACGGAAGAACTGGAAAGCTGTCCAGGCAGCCTGGCCCGGCTCCCTCCGGCTGCTTCCCCATTGTTCCATGAAAAGGTGTGGGCGGAGGGTGGGTACAAAAGAAAGGGTAAGCTGCTTGCTTACCCTTGTCATGTCAAGACCTCCAGATGAAAAAGTAGCTCTGGGGAAAGGGGAAACCTAGGGAGGAGGTCTTAGAGCAGTCATGGCCACCTCCAGTCCAGACTGCACACAGATTCGACTCCTAAGTCAATTTTTCCCAGCTTGTCATCTCACTGCTCTCAGACCCTGCACACACCCCCTTTCTGCCCCATAGGCCCTGGTGTGGCCTCGGGGGTAACAAGAGCTTGGGCAGGAAGTTAGAGGATCTATAAGAATGGTGTCCCCTTTACCTCCCTTTGTCCTAATGCCCAGGGTCAAAGCCAATGGAAAATTCTAGAATGATCTGGGTCCTTCTGGGAAGGCTGATCAGATCTGCATTCTGAAGTGTTGGTCAGACTCAGCGAACTAAGTCACCCCTGGCCTGAGAAGCAGGAAGGATGGACAAGAAGGTTGAAACCCTTTGCTGGCCTTTGCCTGATGACAGCAATCCTCTAGCCCCGGCCCTAGAGATGCCCGTGAGCTGCCTGAGATGGGCCGAGATGCAGGCGTGCTGGGAGCGGGACATTTTGAGCTGGCCACTGTGGCCCTCTTAATGCTGGAGACAATCAGGAGGTGTGCCATCCACAGGTGTGCCTCCCTCCTTGAAGGAAACACCGACAGGGAAGGCATCGAGGCAGATGAGCTGAAGCAGCCAGGGACCCCGGGACTCTGCTGAGGACCCCCAGGCAGCAGTGCAAACAGGAGGGGAGAGCGAATGGACAAGTGTTTGCTGCTACTGACAATTCACAGCCAGACGCCAAGAGGAGTGGGACCCCCGACCTTCTCCACGAGGACTTTATGACAGATTCCAAACCGATGGCTTCCCACATGCTGGTCCTTCCTGTACCTCTGGTGGCCCAGAAACCCAGCTCATCAGGAGCTTACTCCTTTTACCCCTCGCCACAGTCCCCACCACCCTTTCTGGAATCTCCACTGAGTTCCTCCTCGGTGCATTTACGTGGCTGCTGGCTCTGCAATCACAGGGCCAGACACTTGAGTTCTGATCTACCTTGAGCAGCTGAGCTCAGGATCTCTGACCTGACTCCTGGTGGCCCTTCCACTTTCTGTTTTGCTTTTGGGAAAATCCATCATCTCAATCCTCATGTGCCCAATCCTACTTTTTCCCCTAAAGGCTTATTTAAATGTAAACTTAACCATTAACTTTCCCCCGCTCCCCACTCACTCTCCATCACCATCCTCAGAGCTTCATCACTGGCAGCAACGTGGGGATGGGACCAGGAATGAGCAGAGTGAGCTCGGGCTGTGACGATGTCAGAGTGAAGGTGGGGTGAGGGTGGGGTTGTGGGGGCACCTAGGTCTAGAATGGAAGCCAACGAGTGAGGGTCAAGGGGTGGGGGCGTGACCTGGACATACGCACACAGGACCAGGATCCCGCCGCCACTGCGCCCACTCAGCTCAAAGATGCCCTTGGCCGTTGTAGGGGCTGAACTGTGAGCCCCAAATCCATATTCCGAAGTCCCCACCTCCACTTCCTCAGAATGTGACCATAACTGACATAGGACCTTGAAGGCAGTAATTGAATTAAGAGCAAGCTCTTAGGGCAGGGGTCCCCAGCCTCCAGGCCATGGACTGGTACCTGCCTGTGGTCTGTTAGCAACTGGGCTGCTCTGCAGGAGGTGAGCGGTGGGCAAGCAAGCAAAGCTTTATCTGTATTTACAGCCACTTCCCATCGTTTACATTACTGCCTGAGCTCCGCCTCCCATCAGGTCAGGGGCAGCATTAGATTCTCACAGAAGCATAAATAGGGCTTCCCAGGTGGCATTAGTGGTAAAGAACCCACCTGCCAACGCAGGAGCCAGAAGAGACTCAGGTTCAATCCCTGGGTCAGGAAGATCTCCTGAGGGAGGGCTTGGCAATCCACTCCAGTATTCTTGCCTGGAGAATCCCATGGACAGAGGAGCCCGGTGGGCTACAGTCCATGGGATGGCAAAGAGCTGGAAATGCCTGAAGCAACTTAGCTCACACATACAAGAGTGCAAACCCTACTGTGAACTGTGCAATCAAGGGACCTAGGTTCCATGCTCTTTATGAGAATAATCCCCAAACCATCCTCTTCCCAACCCTCCAGTCCGTGGAAAAACACTGTCTTCCATGAAACTGGTTCCTGGTGCCAAAAAGGTTGGGGACCACAGTCTTAGGGTGACTCTTAATCCAATCTGACTGATGTCCTTATGCGTGCTAAGTTGTTTCAGTCATGTCCGACTCTTTGCAACCATATGGTCTGTAGCCTGCCGGGCTCCTCTGGCCCTAGGATTCTTTAGGCAAGAACACTGGAATGGGTTGCCATGCCCTTCTCCAGGGGATCTTCCTGACCCAGGGATTGAACTTGCATCCAACGTCTCCTGCATTGGCAGGCGGGTTCTTTACCACTAGCGCCACCTGGGAAGCCCTGACATCCTTATAAGAAGAGGAAATTGGGACCCACAGAGGGACACCAGGGGCTCCCTAGGGGTCACGCACAGAAGAAAGACCATCTGGGGACACAGCGAAAAGGCAGCCACCTGCAGCCGAGGAGAGAGGCCACAGGAAAACCCAGCCTGCCAGCACCTTGGTCTTGGACTTCTAGCCTCCATGACAGCAAGAATAATAAATGCCTCTTGTTAAGCCACCCAGTCTGCGGAGTTTTGCTGCTGCTGCCCTAGCGAATAAATACAGTCACTCCCATCAGGAATCCTCATTCTCTGATTCGTCAGGTCAGTCTTCAAGGTTGTTTTTTCAAATCTCATTTTCACACGTATACATGTTCATACCCACTTATGTTCAGTTCAGTAACAAGGTTGGGTCAGTGCACGAGATGGGAGGAGGCAGGGGCCCCCTTGCTGGGGGAGGAAAGGAGAGAGGAACCGAGGAAAGGCAGGATGGTTCAAGGGCAGGGGCCCGGCAGGGCCAGGGGAAAAGAGGAGGCTGAGAAGGGAGGTGACGGTGGGCAGAGGTGAGGGGGAGGCCATGGGTCGGGGTCAGGGGGAGGCTAGGAAGCCCTCACCTGAGAATGTTCTCGAGCTCTGCAACCAGCCGGTGATAATTTATGTTCAGTTTCTTCCAAGGCTTGAAGCGCCTCCTCTTACTGTCTACAAACTTTTTCCAACAGTATTTGAATTCTGAGATGAAGAGGAAAGCAGAGCTGTCAGAGCTGGGCCTGTCCTCTGCTGACCCTCTCCCGGTGCCCTGGGCCCTCCTCCCCGCTCCCCAGGCTCCCCTCCCCAGCCCCCCTTCCTCCCCTTGCCCAGCCCCCCAGCGCCCCCTGCTCTCACCTCGGTAGGACATAATGTACACCCTGGCCCCCTGGTGGCTCAGCCCAAGCAGCCCCTGCCTGTACGCCACGTCTCGGAAGTAGTAGAGGCGGGCAGCGAAGATGCTGAGCGTCACATTCCGGTACCTCGCCAGGAAGTTAGCCACCTGCTTCGCGCACTTCACGCAGGGGCTCCACGACATGTACCAGGTGATGTGGTAACACTCGTCAGGGTGCAGCTTCATGCTGCAGAACCAAGACAGGAAGTGGAGTTCGGTGTGGTAGCGAGTCCCAGCATTTACCTGGGCGAGACGGAGGAGGAAAGTGGGGTTGTTCTTGGTGGCAGAGCGGGCCACGTGCCCGGGGTGGATGGTGGTGGGGAGGAGGGGTCAGGGGCCGGTGTCCCAGAGGCAGGTGGCTTCCTAGTTATCCCTTCTTTCCATCTGTCCCCTCCCTTCTTTTCTTCCTTAGATGTCCCTTCCCGCAGTCATCTGCTCATCCATTCACTCCAACATCCATCCTCTTAAGCATTCATTCTACAAGTATCCTGAGTGCCAGCTTCGGGCCAGGTCCTCTTGGGTCCAGCTTGGTTCCCTGGGTGCTGTCTGCTGGGAGGCTCACAGAACTACCCTGCACCTCAGGGAGCCCAGCAGCCACACACCTCTACAGAGCACCTGACGTATGGCTCGAGTGAAGGGAGACGTGTGGCAGGTGTGAAAATACACAGTTCAGGGACTTCCCTGGCTGTCCAGTGGCTAAGACGCTGTGCTCTCAATGCAGGGGGCCAGGGTTCGATCCCTGGTCAGGGAACTAGACCCCACAGGCTGCAACTAAACAGATCATGTATGCTGCAACTAAAAGAACATGCCACAACTAAGGCCTGGAGCAGCCAAATAAATAAATATTAAAAATAAAAAACACAGCTCATTTCAGTGACTTAGTATGAACAAAAAAAGAATGCAAACTATCTCATGAAGTTTTATATTAGTTATGCATTAGAAAATACATATAAGTCTATAGCTTAGATATACAGTCAATTCTCTGTATCTGAGGGCTGCTCATCTGCCGATTCAACCAACCACCTATTGAAGTTATTCAGAAAAAGGAAATTCCAGAAAGTTTCAAAAGGCAAAACTTGAATTTGCCTGGCTGGCAACAATTTACATAATATCTTGTTCATTCGCTAAGTTATATCTGACTCTTTATGACCCCATGGACAACAGCACTCCAGGCTTCCCTGTCCTTCACCATCTCCCAGAGTTTGCTCAGACTCATGTCCATTGTGTCGGTGATGTCATCCAACCATCTCATCCTCTATAGTTCCCTTCTCCTCCTGCCCCCAATCTTTCTCAGCATCAGGGTCTTTTCCAGTGAGTCGGCTCTTTGCATCAAGTGGCCAAAGTATTGGAGCTTCAGTGTCAGCCTCAGTCCTTTCAATGAATATTCAGGTTTGATTTCCTTTAGGATTGACTGGTTGGATCTCCTTGCTGTCCAAGGGACTCTCAAGAGTCTTCTCCAGCACAATTCGAAAGCATCAATTTTTGGTGCTCAGCCTTCTTTATAATCCAGCTCTCATATCCATACATGACTACTGGAAAAACCATAGCTTTGACTATACTGACCTTTGTTAGCAAAGTGATGTCTGCTTTTTAATACACTGTCTAGGTTTGTCATATGCTTTCTTCCAAGCAGCAAGCGTCTTTTAATTTCCTGGCTGCAGTCACCATCCACACTGCTTTGGGAGCCCAGGAAAATAAAACCTGTCACTGTTTCCACTTTTTCCCCATCTATTTGCCATCAAGTGATGGGACTGGATGCCATGATCTTAGTTTTTTGAAAGTTGAGTTTTAAGCCAGCTTTTTCACTCTCCTCTTTCACTTACATCTACACTGTATTTACAAATGTTTATGTAGCATTTACATTGTATCAGATATCACAAGTAAGCTAGAGGTGATCTGAAGTATATGGGAGAAATGTGTGTGGGTTATACGCAATTGCTGTGCCGTCTTACATATGGAATTCAGTATCTGCAGATTTTCGTGTTACCAGGGGTCTTGGAACCAACCTCCCGCTCCATATAGAGGGATGACTGCATTGCCCAATACCTTATCAATATTAATTTCATCGGTTTCTCTTAACTTTTTGAATACTGGGTAGTAGAAAAAGTCAGATGACACGTGTGACTCGGATTATATTTTGATGGGGTAATATTGCTACAGCGCACATTCCCACCCCACCCAGCTTATGACAGCTGCTCAGGTAGGTTCTGAAAAGGCTGCAGGCGGGTGGGGGACATTTTGCAGGAGTGGTGAGAGGTTGACACAGGAGCCGCAGGGCAGTGGACTTATTAGACACTGCTGATGCTGCGGTGGTCATCCAAGAGATCTGGCCCTGCGCTCAGAGGCAGCTGAGGGGCAGGCAGGTTGAAGGTTGTGGGTCTCCCCTGTGAGATCCCAAGCCCTAGGCACAGAAGAGGAATGGGTGTGGCAAGCGAGGCCCCAACCAGCAGAGCAGTTGCTAGGGTCTGACAGGCACTGGAACACAATAGACAAGACTTCCTAAACAGGTCCTTGTTGTTGTTAAGTCACTAAGTTGTGTCCGACTCTTTTGTGACTCCATGGACTGTAGTCCACCAGGCTCCTCTGTCCATGGGATTTCCCAGGCAAGAGTACTGGAGTGGGTTGCCATTCCCTCTCCAGGGGATCTTCCTGACTCAGGGATGGAACCCATATCTCTTGCATCTCTCCACTGGCAGGCAGATTCTTTACCACCAAGCCACCAGGGAAGCCCATGTGCTTTCCTCCAAAGCTAAAGGCCAAGCTTGATGACAACTCAGAGACCCACCACCAGCAGACTCTCTAAACAAAGCCTGGTGGGATGTCAATTGCCATCTTGTATGAGGTTCCAGGAGCTCAAGTACAGACTTCACAGGCCAAGGACTTAGGAAAATGTATGAGAAGACACAGAATTATCTGAGAGCCCCCAAATGGCATAAGACTGTTTACAATTTTTTCCACATTATCAACTGGCCTTTGAATCTTTGTAATACCTGTGACAGAGGGACACCATTTGGGGGCTAAAATTTCATCCTGCTTTTGAAACAGGAACTAGATTTGAACTATGACCCGGGCACAGACATTGGACACTACCACTGCTGCGTGCACGTGCTTGTGCGTTCAGTCGTGTCCGACTCTTTGTGACCCCATGGACTGTAGCCCACCAGGCTCCTCTGTCCATGGAATTTCCAGGCAAGAATACTGGAGTGGGTTGCCATTTCCTTCTCCCGGTGATCTTCCCGACCCAGGGAACGAACCCGTGTGTCCTGAGTCTTCTGCATTGCAGGCGGATTCTTTACCACTTGAGCCATCCAGGAAGCCCCATCAATGCTATATCTGCGTTCTTTTATTTATCTAGGCCCCATCAACCTTCTTGCAGGATCTTGGTTTTTCATGCCCCCTGCACTGGGAGCATTGTGTCTTAACCATTGGACTGCCAGGGAAGCCCCTATAACTGCATTTTTGATGAAAACTGGACCCCCTGAAAAAGGAATTTTCCTAATATCTGACATAACACAGTCTGAAAACCAATGAATGGCAGTTGTAATTATATCCCCCAGTCATAACTTTGGGAAAACATCTTGTGCAAGGATCCTAAAACTTCAACAGTTTGCCCATCCACTGCCCGCTCCTGGGCTTTTTCCCCCTTGGCGGGACACAATGCCAGCCGCACCTGAATCTGTGCTGCCTGCACTGCAAGTCTAAGGCACCAAATAAATGCAATGAGAGTTTCCTGGGGCCCGTACCTGGTTATGAAAGACCCCCCAGTCGAAGGAGACATATGAGCGGTGTTTCCTTCTTTCCACCCGGTAGCAGATGTAGGAGCAGTTCCGCCCGTTGGCATAGAGCAGGTTGTGAAACTGGAAGTAAAAGGTATCAGGATCTAACCTCCACACCTGGTTCCTGAAGTAAAACAGAGAAAAGAGAAAATGCAGAGAGCTCCCCGCCTCCACCCCCACCCCGGCATTCCTCCTGGTGTCTCCTGAGTGCAACACCCTGGCCGCCCTTGGTGCTCTGCTTCCCAGCAACCCGCCTGGGCCTGGGGGATTTCCTGCAGCCTTTGCAGGCAGGAAGGAAGACTGGGGAAGAGGAGATGTTGCTGGGTCAGCAGAGTGGGTGACGCCTCCCCCTGGGGCCCAGGCTCTGCTCCTTCCTATAGCACCCTAATCCCCACTCCAGTTTTCCTGCCTGCCATTAGTAAAACATAAAAAAGTAATAAAAACCTCTCCACTACAAAATAATAGCCTTTGACTCAGTTCCATTCATTCCTGACTTTTCACTTGTGCATTTGTTTGTATTAATTTTTATTGAAGTAAAGATATTTTATAACATTGTGTTAGTTTCTACGGTCTAGCAAAGTGAATCAGCTCTACACATACATGCATCCCCTCTTTTTTGGATTTCCTAACCTATCACAGCATACTGATTAGAGTTCCCTGAGCTATGCAGTAGGTTCTCCCTGGTTATCTATTTTATACATGGTATCAATAGTTGTTTCAGTTTTTTAATGTGAGGTTAACACCTAAATTCACCAGATCAGGCTACTGTTTCAAGTGCTTTCTGTATCTGAACTCATCAACTCCTCCTCAAAATCCCACGGGAGCCAAGCCCATTTTATAGAGGAGGAAGCAGGGACACAGAGCGGGCAAGTAGCCCGCCCAAGTCACACAGCAGTGAGTGATGGAGCCGGGGCCCTGACCGGACCAGGCCATTTCCAGCTGTGCCATTCTGTGACCTTGCAGCCATGTGAAGTCTTGGATGTGGCTTTCTTTCCTACTCAGTTTTAAAACAGGAGCATTTCCCCTTATCTTTCCTCGATTCTAGGCTCTCGGTACAGTTATAAACGTGAAGCGTGGTCACCTAGGTTGTGGCCAGGTTGCAAACCATTTAATGGTTTTATTTAAATCAATGGTTGTAAATAAAACCATTTATTTTTCTGCTCAGAGCTGAGGTATCCTTGGAAGAGGGGATGTCTCTACTTGCCTCAGAGAAGTATTCTCACACTTACAGTGGTCTAAACAGTAGAGAAAATGGATCAGAGTGCTGTAAACACGATCCACCAGCTGCTTAAGCCATCCTTTGGCCAAATTCTAAGTGTTCATAGAGGGTGCAGGCGGGAAGGGAACTGGCCCGACAGCATTTCAGGCTGAGAGCTGGGCCAGAGGACCCTCAGAGAGGCATGGAGGTGTGGGAGGGGCCAGTTCAGAAGCAAGAGGGGGCGCCCCCTCCGCGGAACAGGGCAAAGACTCCAAGTGGGAGAAGATCCTTTCAGAAAAGGTGCCAGAGGGGGTAATAGGAACGGGGCTGGGGCTGCAGAGACTTCAGGGAGAAGGCGGCTGAGGGACGGGACACAGCCCTAGGGACCTCGGGAGAGGGGGCCCAGTGGCCAGAGCGGGCGGGCAGCGGTACCTGATCCAGGGCATCTGGCTGTAGCCCCGGTAGGCTGGTTGCAGCCCTGGCCTTTGTCTTGAGTGCGGGGGCTCCATTTCCTCTCCCAGGACTCTCGGGTAGAAAAACCCCTTATCTGTGAGTGACCTCCCAGGCCGGCTCTGCGGAAGCCCGCCCTCCTTCCTGCTTTGGCACCGGGGGTGGGAGGAGGGCCCTGGGGGGGGGAGGGCCCCGGGGTGCTCTGCTTCCTCAGGCTCAGACCCACCTTCCCCTGGGCCCTCCCTCTTGGCTGAGCTCAGCCTCTGATGGGGCCAGGCCCCTCCATAGGGTAGGACCTGACGTTACTGCAAAGGGAAAGAGAAAGTAAAGATGCCCGAGAGGGGGATGGGCCAGACCCTGGCTGAGGAGAGCAGACCGAGGCCTGCTCCCCCTGGGGGAGGGCAGGCTGGATCCCTCTCCACCCTACCCGCCCACCCAGGCCAAGCCTGCACCTAGTTCTCCACCTGCCTGTTGAATGAATGGACGCCATGGGGGAGTGTGGCCCTTCTGAGGTAGGAGACAGGTGGGCCCCAGGTTGGAAATTTACAATAAGCCACCCTTCTGCTTGCATTTCCTGAGATAAGAGATAGGTGGATTCCAGTTAAGGAATTGACAGGGTCAATAGCCCGTCTTCGTCTCTTACCTCAAAGCAATAATCACGGCAAGGACAACGAAAGGAGAAAACCCTGTCTGACAGAGGAGACCCTACACACGCGCAGAAAGTCTCCTTGGAGTCAAGAAAGAAAGTAGAAAAGAACTAGTCGCTCAGTCATGCCTGACTCTTAGCGACCCCGTGGACTGTAGCCCGCCAGGCTCCTCTGTCCATGGCATTCTCCAGGCAAGAATACTGGAGTAGGTTGCCATTTCCTTCGCCAGGAGATCTTTCTGACCCAGGGCCACCAGGGGAGCCTTGGAATCAAAAGTCAGAGGATAATTCCAGGCCATAATGAGTCTTGCTCCTCCCAGAAGCCTTCACTTCAAGATCCAACTTGGCTAGGATGTGCATGTGCACCCCAGGGGAGGGGCCCGAGACAAATTAACCAGGGAGGACAAAGTAAGGTGACTGGCTTGAGGGAAGACATAGACCCGGAAAACTGCCCTTTTATGAAGGATTTATTATAAAGGATTTAAACTTCCCAAAGGTGTGAATTTCTCTCTCTCTGAGCTCTCCCCTGTGCCTTTCTGAATGTACTGCCCCAGGGTTTCAACATACAGATTTGCACACAGATGTTCACTGTGCACAAGTGACACAGATTTTTAGCCCAGACCAGCCTGTGACCCACAGGATTGCTTTGGTTGCCTCCTGGACAATGATGGTGTAATATCGCTCTCAATATGCTAGTTGCTGCTTTACACCCAGAGCTGAAACTGCGGTGCACCTGTCTTCCCAGAGGTCGCGTTCATTGCTACAATACCTCACCTGGAGGCCTGGAACGCGGCTCGTTTTAGCTGGGGTCCTGCTGCCTTTACAGGATTGACATCTCCTTGTGGGAATAAAATGCCTTACTTGGCACTCACTGCCAAACTGCTTTAAAAAAAAAAAAAGATTTACCTATTTATTTGGCTGGGAGAGGTCTTGGTCGCAGCATGTGGGATCTAGTTCCCCAACCAGGGATGGAACCTGGGACCCCTGCCTTGCAAGTTCACAGTCTTAACCACTGGACCATCAGGGAAGTTCCCAAGTTGTTTTCTAAAGCTCTCTGCCAGCAGACATCTCCAGGAGAAACAGTAAAAAATGGCAATAGAAATGGTAAAAAAAAGTTACCATTCTGAGAGAGTCAATTCCTAGGCAGATTGATAACAATCCAAGGTCCCCAAGGAGGAGAAAGGGGGACTGGGGCTCTCGAAGCAGAGAGTGGGGGTCTGGAATTATCAAGGAGGAGAAAAGGACAAACTTTTTTGCCCTCTACATTCCTTAGTCTTAGTCAATTACACAACTCAGTTTAAACTCTGTACCAGGTGCCAGGGTCCAGCCTCGGCAGGATCCAAGGGGTACCCTCAGGATGAACGGCGTTGGCGAGAGAGAGAGAGAAGCCACGTGAGACCAGCCTTGATAGGGCCAAGTCTGCGAGGGAGAGAAAGAGAAAGAGAGAGAGAGAAAGAGAGAGAGAGTGACCAGACGGGGGGTGCAGCAGGGTCTGGCAGAGTCTGACAATGCTTTATTTTTTACCGTAGCTTTTATACCTTAAGTTAGTACATCTCTAAGGGGAAGATAGTTTAATATTACATCAGCTTGTTCTTCATGAAACCAGGGTGTTTTCTGCATACTTCTTTGTTTATGAGGGTCTTGTACATTATCTTCTGGCCTTGGGGCCCATTAACATTTTATGCAGGTCAGGTGAATGTAAAGCTATTTTCCATTTCTGTGGTGACCTTAACTGAAAGGTAGCAGTCTCATAGTGCAACAGTACAGAGTAGAAGTATAACCTTGTTAACGTAAAAATTAATCCTTCTGCAGAAGTTGTCAGTTGTGTTTATCTAAGAAGTTTACCCCACACTGACTCTGCGACTTTGGTGAGGCAGCCTCTGCCTAGCACTCCTGGGCGACAATTGACAACCATCTCATTGTTACCACACTAGGGCTAAGCCTTTATTTTTCTAGATCTATAACTATATTAACAATGGTTTCTATAACACAACCTTAGCACATTAAGAGCAAAAACACAGCAAGCAAATGTTAACCCAATAGCTACTTTTAGAATAATTTTTCTTGTGTTTTCTAATAGGGCTTCCTCACCCCCCAAAGGGCTCTATGTCTATTAGGGCCTTTATACGATCAGGTTCTTTATGTTATTTTATGATTAGGGTATTATAAGCAATCATGCATATTAGTACCAAGGGCATAAACGCATTTGCCAAACAAACTAATATACCAGCAAAGGAGTTCAAATTAAAACATTCCTTTCACCCTGGATAATCTCATAAAATACCACCACCCGGGAAACTTAATGATTAAAGTTCTAAATTGATTCTTATTTGGAAAGAGATCGAGGAAGGCTTTCTGCCTGTGTCACAGAAATTAGGGAGTAGCCTATTGAAGCAAGCATCAGAAAGACAGATATCATCTTTAAGGTGAGCGCAGAGGGCAGCTTTTCAGAATCCCTGAAAACCTGATCCGCCTTGCCTGTCAGGTTTTTCTTCTCATGACCTTGTCACGGGTGGGATCTTGTGTGCGGCTCCCGGCAACCAGGGATTACACAACAACAATGTATCCGTCTGGAGGACAGTTTCTTCTTCCTGAAAACCTTCTGACTAATCCTGATATTTTAGAATGTATATTATGGAAGTGGGTCTAGAGGATCTTTCTATTGTTAAATTCTAATCTTGTTATCCTAAAATGTAAATTGTGGGAGTCGATCTGGTAAAATTTTCACAAACTTGAGACATTCGTTTGATTCATTGTAATAACTAATTATAAGTTATATAACTTCATTGCTAACGCAAGCAAGGGGGTCCTCTTTCTGCCCCTTTCTGATGTCTGTGTCAGAAGCTTTCTCTATCCCTTTTACACTTTAATAAAACTCTATTGCACAAAAGCTCTGAGCGATCAAGCTTCATCTCTGGCCCCAGATTGAATTCTTCTCTTCCAGAGGCCAAGAATCATGGCGTCTTTTCGTGGGTCAGCAACAACCTTTCAATTCCCTGTATTTTCACCAATACTGGTGTTATGAGACCTCTCATTTCCCCAACCTGATGGAATGTGAAAAGCTATCTCATTGAGGTTTTGTTTTATATTTTCCATTTCTAGGGAGATCAAGTGTCTTTTCATAATTTTCTGCCCCTTTCTAGAATTGTTGGCTGCATCCTTTGTCTGTTTTCTAGTAGGAAGTTTGTCTTTCCTTATTGCATTATAAGAATTTTTTAATATTCTGCATAGTAATCCTTTGTCAGTTATACACATTGCAGATACTCTCTTCCAATCTGTGACTAGGCTCTTAGTTCATGAAGTCTTCCCGTAGGTAGATGTTTTAATTTTTAATGTTTTCAAATATATCCGTTTTTCCATGCATATGATATGAGGCAGATATCTAATTTTTTAAAAAAATTTCATTTCTTGGCCATGCTGCATGGCATGCAGGATCTTAATTCCCTGACCAGGGATCAAACCTGTGCCCCACGCAGTGGAAGCTCAGAGTCTTAACCACTGGACTGCCAGAGAAGTCCCAAGAAAATTCTTCTAAGATAGGGAAATAAATATTACACGTCCTGTATTCTTTATTTTGGGCTGTGCTGGTTCTTCGTTGATGCATGGGCTCTTTTTCTAGTAGTAGGGGGTAGGGGCTACTTTCTAGCTGCATTGCAAGGGCTTCTCATTGTGCTAGTTTCTCTGGTTGCGGAGCTCAGGCTCTAAGGCACACAGGCTCCAGCAGTTGCAGCATGTGGGCTCAGTTGTTGCAACTCCCAGACTCGAGAGCACAGGCTCAATCAAGAGTTGTGGCACATGGGAAAAAAAAAAAAAGTTGTGGCACATGGGCTTAGTTGCTCTGAGGCATGTGGGATCTTTCTGGATCAAGGATCGAACCTGTGTCCCCTCCATTGACAGGCAGATTCTTAACCGTTGAGCCACCAGGGAAGTCCATAAGTCCTATATTCTTTAAGTCTTCCTTGGCGTGAATATTTGTTAACAACTTAGTTATGACTTTTCGCATCTATGTTTATAAAGAAATATGGGTATAGCTTTCCTTTCTCACATTCTTCTTACTCAGTTTTAAAATCAAGATTATTGTAACTGCTCAAAATCAATTGGGGGAGGTTTAACTTTTTTTTCTTATTTCTTTAGAAAGTTTAGTTCTGATCCTTACAGGGTTGATTGAACTCAGCATAAAACTTTCTGGGCTGGTAACATGATATGATTGCTTTTGTGACCTTTTAAACTAATAATTGCATTTCTTTAAATGGTTTAGGGTTAACTCGTGTGTTCTTTTTCTTTTGGCATAATTTCTATCATTTTTTTCTAGAAAGTTGTTCATTCTGCCTCATTTTTCAGATCTATTGGTATGTGTTCATAGTATTCTCTTCTGACTTTTTATACTTCTATAAAAGGTACAGAGACTTTTTA